TTTACTTAAAAAATAAATCCAGAGTGTTACTATTTTGATTGACATTCTTGCTTTCTTCCAATATTGTTTCTAAAAGTTATCTCTTGAATTATTGATAAAGAAAATAATTTAACTTTACACTCAAAGCACGGCTGACTGAAATTTGAACTCTGAACGACTCACAAGCCAGCATTTTTGACACTTCTCTGTGGTTTCTCGTGTAGGATAAAGGGAACCCTCAAGCAAGTGCAACCACCTTGATGCGAGAAAGCTTCATGCAGGTGTGCGCCTGTTGTTCTCAATGCTGGCTAATCATGTATTACCATAGGGTCCACGGTTAAAGTCTGTGTGAGCATATGTGCTGCACCCAACGCGGGCAGGGAGAGAGCAGTGGTCGAGCGTGTGAAAGCGCTGTGTGAGATAACAGTGAAAAGCACGTTAACTATAACTGACCTGATCTGTAAGTGGATTGCGCATCCTGCGCCGCCAGACACCCCGGAGCGTAGATGAGCTCGGCACCTGGCAGAGCCCTGGCTCCAAGGCGCACCAGCAGGTGACGGAATCCGCCCACGGTTTCCACCTCTCCAAACTGAACGCAGCAATAGGATGTTCCGTGAAAACCAAGTCATGTTCAGACTAGAACACTCTGGACAGTGCCTGCACCTCACACGTGTTCTGGGGGCGTAGCAGTTACACGCTGGGCTGCGATCTGCACGCTCTGCAGCTGGAAACGACCAGCCCCTGAGAGAGAAACACCGAGCTTTCTGGTCCCCCCAAGAGTGACAGCCGCAGAAACTCGCAGGCGCAGTTCTACCCTGTCCCAGAGGGCCACAATGGGGCTTAGACAGGGCCGTCTGTGCAGCCTGCAAACAAGCCCAGAGACCTACCTCGTTCCTGTTTACTAATGTGTTTGCAACTGAGTGTCCGAAACGACTCTGACCACCATCTTCGTGTGGAACAATGTCTTCTTTGGAAGTTGACAACATACTTTTAAATGCTTCTGCAAGAACACGTGCGAGAATGCAGGCAAGAAAATTCTGAGAAAGGCAATGCCTTGACTTGTAAAACACAGGACAGTCTATTTTAAAGCCGTGAGATCCAAGGTGGTATGGAGCTACCAAGAGCCCTGAGACACTGGATAACCCAGAAACCATTTCACACGTGCTGAAGAGACACTCACAGAGGAGAAAGCAGATTACCAAAAAAAGGTGAAATGACCATTCGAAAAATGGTTAACAACTTTCACCTTAATCAGATCACCTT